ATACTTTTAAAAAAAAAAAGCATACATTTTAGGTTCAGACAAACCTGGACACAAATCTAGATCCAACCACCTAATGGTTATTTGACATGGAAAAAATATTTATAGATATATGTAGATTTCTTCATCTGGATCCCTTCCTCTCAAGCCAGCCTGCCTGAACAGGGCCCTTTGTTAGCAATATTCGCTGGGAAGAAGGATCTTTTGTTTAGCAGATTTTTAACATCACATACTGGGAAGCTGGAGAGGTTTAACAAGTAGAGATCAATAGAAGGGAGAACTATAGTTCTGCAGAGGCCAGAGGGGAGAGAGTCCTTGCTCACCTTTTCCATTTCTCTCTAACCCGGCCCCTTCCAGACTCAGTCACCTCCCCAGAATGTCCTGTCCTTCCTGTCTCAGTGACACCAAGGCATTGCTTAATGTGCCCACTGCGGCCACGCTTGCTCCAAGAGGCCTCCTATGCAGACACCATGATCCAGAGTCAGTCCTCTTAGGGGACATGAGCTCCTATGGGACCAGCTGCCACACGGTTTGACTAGTCTGCTGTTCGGAAAGTCCCATGATTGTCTGTGGCCTGGCTTCTCTCCCCACAGGAACGAGCATGCCCTCTACATAAACAGATACAAGTGCATTCTCCCTGTCGTTAGCTGGCAGACTGTCTTACTCTCTCAGAAGCTGCACACAGCCACGGAGCAGTATGGTCTACCAGACGGGGTCGGAAGGCCTGGTTCCGGTTCTCAAGACGCTTCCACTTGGCTGTGTTGCCCTTGAGTGGGTGGCTTGAAGTCTTGGTTTTCTTGTCTATCAAATGTGGATCGTCAGTGAACTTTCCCCACGTTTACCTGGTTAGGAGGCTGAAATCACTGAAGGTGTGTCAGCAAAATGCAGGAGAAGGAAAGGGCATGCCTGGCAACAAGCACAAGCACGTGTTCACATTTTAGTCACCTCAGTGGCCTGCAGACGGACCCCTCATTTGCAGCATCTGAGATGCTCCTCTTTGCCCAGTGAGACAGATCTCTCCAATCTCTGTGTCTCGCGTCTCTCCAGCTTCGCTTTGCTCTTTAGGGGGTGAAGTGTGGGACTGCGCCTCAGTCTCCTCCAAGGACAGGGTGGACTTTACATAAAAACACCTGCATGACTTTGCTAGTGACCTGTCTTCTATTCTTCTTCTGTTCAGGTTTTCCTTCAAATTGCTGAATGCCTCGTAGGACATCTTACTCCTAACAGACACACAGTACGCAGTGGTTCAGTTGAACTCCTAAGGAGATGTGTAAAGTGTGTATAAACTGAACCTATGTAAGGTACATAACGCAATGTAAAATTTAAGCTAAGAAAACAGTCTCCACTCTGAAGTAAGTTGCCAGAGGATAGTGCTAAGATTATGGTGGAATTTAATAACTTAATTGGTTAGGGGAAGAAATGTCTTTGTATTCCGGAAAAGTTAAAAACTTTCCAAAGAATGTGCACATTCCTATTCCCAATTCTTCAGAAGTACTGTCAGAATCCTAATAAGGTATGGGTAAAATTCCTCGCAGGCATTCAGTATGCTTAGTGAAGTATGGACAGGGAATTTAGTTAAGGCATGTGAGTAGAAAGAATCTTTAATCTCAATATCATTGCCACAGGTCAACAAAACAATACTTTTTCTTTTGAAGTAGATACTTTTTTTTTTCCTGAGACAGTCTCAGCAGCATCCCCAGTTAACCACAACTCAACAGAGTGGAGGCCACTTCATACAGTGAGTGCAAACTCTCCTCACTTCCCCCTCTGCTGCTTTTACTGCTCAAGTCAAAAAGAATGATAAGAAAATAGACTTTTATTTTTTTTTTTGAGACAGAGTGTCACTACGTCGCCCTTGGTAAAGTGCTGTGGCGTCACAGCTCACAGCAACCTCAAACCCTTGGGCTTAAGTGATTCTCTGGCCTCAGCCTCCCAAGTAGCTGGGACTACAGGTGCCTGCCACAACACCTGGCTATTTTTTGGTTGCAGTTGTCATTGTTGTTTAGCAGGCCTGGGCTGGGCTCGAACTCGCCAGCCTCAGTGTATGTGACTGGCACCCTACTCACTGAGCTACAAGCCAGCCAAGGTGCCAAACCCAGAAAATGAATGAGTTTCTGGCCCTGTTCTAAAATTAAATGATGTTCATCCCAATCTCCCAGATCTCCCCTGTTTACATATTTCTATATTGTCTTATGACAATTAAAGCTAAAAATAAGGAATCTATTTCCTACTTTAAAAAGATTGTTTTGCTGTTCATGTAATAAACTGTACTGTGAACAGGAATCAATAATTCAGTGTTCAGAGTCCTGCTTCCCCCAAGTGTTCTCTGAGGGCATCTGAGTTAACAAGATGACCTTTCTCACATAGGCATCAAAAAGTGAGAGGTGTAACTTGTGTGTTTGTCTGTTCATCTTTAGATGCCACTGCTTCGGGCAATATATAGGGAAGAAGCATACTGAACGTGCTTTCTTTTAAAATCGATGTTATATTATGGCAACTAGATGCCACTGAAATGACAGTCTTAGTGGCCTGCCGTGGGAAGATGTGTATTAACAAGGCTTTCATGTTTGGTTTGGGGAAAATAAATCTTGAGTTACAAACTACCATATTAAAAATAAGATCTCCACTTTGAGGACATTTTAACCTATTTCCAAGTTAGAGCATTTCCTTTTATATTAAGGCAAATAAGTTGACTAATATATTTTAGAAAATTTTAAATGTTAAGAACTTAAAGGACTCTAATTGTAATATGACTTTTACCTAAAATCTCTACTCTTATCAGAGTTTTCCTGAATGTCCAGTGCTGTATGAATTGATGGACTTACCAGTTGTAGCAGTTAGAAACTGGGAAGCCCTCCACTCAAATCATGTATTATGCCTCATTTTCATGACAGCTGTTGCTAAGTACTCATATTGTGTACGGCTGGGTTGTTTGACTGAAAATTCAAGCAAAGGAAACTCTTCTGTGAAGTGAACCACCTTCCTCACAAGCATAAATCAGGTGACATTTTCCCACAACTTCACCATTTGGTCCAAATAGATAATGGTTACATTTCCAAGTCGCTTCCCCTTCCGTGTGGCCTACTGTTTTAACTTGCGTGGGCTGGAAGTTCCTACTCAGTTATATATTTGTCGGTGTTTGGACACCTGTGCTTGTGTTCGTACATCCTTTTGTGACCCTGTCTGCTGATAGAGGCTGTTTCAGATTTCAATTCAATCTCTATCAGATCGAGATGTAGTTTTTGAAACTTGCTGTATGATGAATATTTAGTATATGCTATTTGATTGTTAGGAGTATTTCAATATAGCTATGAGATAGGGTATATTTTATTAATATTAAGCATGTTTACCAATTAATATCCTTTGAAATGTATGGTTGGGTGTTGAGCCCTACTCATGTAACCCAAAGCAAATAGCCTATGTGTCTTCCTTGGTGACAATAAGAAACTTTTGTCCGTGTGGCCTAGAATTGTTGAGAGTAGAAATACCAAAACTCATGCTCCAAAATGATAGTTTCATTATCATATGTTTATGATTTGTTAATATTAACGCAAATGCTTTCCTTGAGTTCTGTTCTCAAGTATTACACAGTGGAGATCACTCTTACTGGGAGCGGGGGTATAGCCAGGGACAAGAAGAAAGGCCTCAGAGGACAACTTGCTGTGGGTCGAGGTGTCATACAAACCTTTGCTCTCTAGACTTGTGACGTCCATTACAATAGCCATTAACCTCATGTGGCTGCCCAGCACTTGAAATGTGGTTAGTCTGAAGTGAGATGGGCTATAAAGTCACACTGGCTTTTGAAATGTTATTACAAAATAGAGAATGGAAAATATGTCATTAATGATTTTTATATTGGGTATGTGTTGAAATTTAATATTTTAAGATATATTGGCCAAGTAAAATAGATTAAAAGTTAATTTCACCTGTTACCTTTTATTTTTAAAATTTAGTATGTAGACAATTTGAAATGACACACATTATTCTTCTGCCTCAAGTTACCCTCCATAGAGGAGAAGGTTCCTGTGGTGAGGGGCTCCACAGAGCTGCAGCCCAACGCCCACCCTTGGGCAGAGGGGGCCAAATGAGGGCCACCTGAGCTCACCTGGGCATCTACTCCGGGAAAAGAAGGCATACATGGCCTTCGGTGTAGATTTCCTGCCCTCCTCAAGTTCATTTCTCTCTTAGATTCATTTAGGGTTAAATAGGCTATGCTGTGACCCCACTGGTTACAGATTTCTGATTTAATTGAGTTTGTTCATCCATGTACCCTAAGGGTAATTAAAATGTTTAGTATAAGCATCACCATTACAATAGCTAAGGATTCCACAGTGCTAGGTGCACACCCTGCCTTGGATGCTTTACATGGTAACTCATTCCATCCTCTTACCATCCAGGGGAGACAGGAACTCTTATTACATCTGTTGGAGAGATGACCCAGGCCATCTGCCCTGATCCACAGGCAGCAGTGCCCTCTACAATAGCATCTATTTCTTTGTGTTCTTAGCACATGACTTTGCCTGCCTCAAGTGCATTCCTCTCCATAGTATAACAACAACATCAGTCTCTTCTCCCAAACTTAGACGTTTTTCAGTAACGCAACAGCTAAGGCATTCAAAAGATGTTTATAGTCACAAAAATTGGGGGCCAACTATAAGGTTGTAAATGATCCAACTCCTTGTTTTCCCTAAAGTTACCCAAAAAAGCATACTTGAGTTTGGTCTGCTTAAAAATGGAGATAGTCTAATTTCAGTTAAATAAGAAACACCCATTTCCATTCCCTACCCTGTACCAAACACGATGCCAGCTACGGGGAAAGCAGGTAGATGACAGACTCCCAGCTTGCAAGGAATCCTGGCCTTGTGGACCTAAAGGCACATTTCTCCATGTGCTGAGGGCTGTGTGTCCACGGTGGTGTAGGAAGAGGAGAGGTGTTCTAGAAAGAGAAGCACTGTGTCCATTGGCTTGTTTAGAGAGTGCTGATCTCATTCCTGTGGTTTCAGGTGCCAGCAAGGTCAACCTTGTGAAGATTGCATCCACAGCCTCCAGTCCACGGGACACAGCGCTGGCTGCTGTCATCTGCAGCGCCCTGGCCACCGTCCTGCTGGCCCTGCTCATTCTCTGTGTCATCTACTGTAAGAGACAGTTCATGGAGAAAAAACCCAGCTGTAAGTTTTGGGCTCATTAGATTTCTTAGCATCTTGGTGGAATGCACTTATCACTGTCATGCATTGTTCAGCAAGCCACGTGGCTAAGATGAGGGCACGCAAACATATAGCTGACCCTTGAACAAGTTGGGGGCTGGGGGCACCGTTAATATCCACCTATGACCTTGACTTCTCAAAAGCTTAACCACCAATAGCCCACTGTCGACTGGAGGCCTCACCAATAGCATAAACAGTCGATTAACACATATTTTATACACTATGTGCATTGTATACAGTATTTTTACATAAATAAGCTAGAGAGAAGAAAATGTTAATAGGAAAATCATAAGGAAGAGGAAAAATATGTACTATTCCTTAGTGGATGTGGATCATCTTAAAGGCCTTCCCCCGGTCATCTTCATGTTGAGGAAGAGGAGGAGGAAGGAGGGGTGGGCCTTGCTGTCTAGGGGTGGCAGCAGCAGAAGAAAGTCCAACTGTAAGTGGACTGAACATTCAAACCATGTTGTCTAAGTGTCGCCTCACCACAGGGGGCAGGACCTTATAAAGGAAGATCCACAAAGGCATGATGTCCCTGAGACAAAAATAAAAATTGTTCCCAGTCCAGACAACATAAGTACCCTGCGTTTTAAACTTTCCTAACACACTATTTCATCTTTGTGCCTCCCCACAAGAATAGTCTAACTTTGCCACGATAGCTGACTTTGTCTTTAAAAATAGAATGCTAGAATGGTATTGATCTGCAGGACGGTGTTAATGGGACTCTCTTCTGGAGGAAACTGTTCACTGACAGAAGTCTCATCCCTTGTGTAGGGTCTCTGAGATCACAGGACATACAGTACAGTGGTTCCGAACTGTCATGTTTTGACAGACCTCAGCTCAACGAATACGCCCACAGAGTGTGCTGTCAGTGCCGCCGAGACTCGGCCCAAGCCTGCGGTGAGTTCAGCTGCCTGGGGCCCGAAAGCATTGCCCATGGTTTATTCATTTCACACTGAGGACACTGTGCTTGGTTTTCTAGGTAAAACTAATGTTGTGAAATTATTCTTCACAGTCCCCTGTTGATTTGGGTGTTTTGATCACTGAAGGATTAAAAAGAAAATAAGCATCTTGTTAAAATTCTAGAAGTTTTTCAGCAACCTTTGGGGCAAGTTTGCTTTTCTCATTTTGAGTCAGTTGATTTATGTAAAATCATGTTAACCGTTTGTAGTGCAGGAGTTTGTATCCTTTGTTGTCTGAGCTTTATTCCACCTCCCCTCCTCCGTGTCAGTGTGATACATACACACATTTTTTTGTTTCATTTGCTATTTAAAAATCAATTGCAGGTGTGTTGTCCCTTTACCCCTTAATGCTTCAGTGTTTATTTCCTAGGAATAAGAAAATTCTTTGACATAACAATAGCACAATTATTAAAATCAAGAAATTAGCATTAATTCAGTGCTGTTATGCAATCTGTAGAGCATATTCAGATTTTCCTAACTGTCCCAATAATGTCCTTCATAGCAAAAGAAAATCCTAGAAAACACTGTTAAATTTAGTTGACAAATCTCTTTGATCTCTGAATCTGGAATTGTTTCTTAATCTTTATGTTTTATGACATAGATATTTTTGAAAAAGGACAGGCCAGTAATTTTGTAGGGTGATCCTCAATTTAGGTTCAGCTGATGTTTCCTCAGGATAAGATTCAGAAGCACCACAGAGAGGGGTGCTGTGTCCTTCCCAGTGCACTAGATCAGGACACGTAGGTGTCCGTCTGTCCCAGGCCTGATCAGGTGAATGTTGGTCACTTCATGAAGGTGCTGTCTGCCAGGTTTTTCCACTGTAAAATTATTGTTATTCTCTTGATAATTAACAAATATCTCCTGGGGAGATACTTAGAGACTATGTAAATATCCAGTTGTTCCCCCAGTTTTTGTTGTTGTTGTTGTTGAGACAGAGCCTCAAGGTGTCGCCCTGGCTAGAATGCCATGGCATCACAGCTCACAGCAACCTCTAACTTCTGGGCTTAAGCGATTCTCTGGCCTCAGCCTCCCAAATAGCTGGGACTACAGGCACCCGCCACAACACCCAGCTATTTTTTTCTTGTAATTGTCATGAACCGAAACAAGAGATTATAACGTTAATGAGGGGAAGGGCAGAGGACAGCTATGGACAGACAGGCGTTAGAGCTTCCAGCTGTGACCCTGGTCTGGCTCTCCAGTATTCCTTTGGGAGAGTGTCTTTGCATTTCTTCAGGCAGCAGGCAGGAACCCAATCATGAAAGAAATCCTTCTCAGAGCCATTCTCTTAGGGGAGCACTTTGAAACTGAACTGCCACGTCTAAGCATGGGATGCTGATCTCTACAGCAGGCCCAGGCTGGGTTCGAACTCGCCAGCTCTGATGTATATGGCCAGCACCCCAGCCACTGAGCTACAGGCGCCGAGCCTACTCCCCAAATTTTAACCCAGTAGTTTAACATCCACTGGTGATTCTTACCTGAACTAGTCATTACTGTGACAGTTATCAAATGCTGCTTTTCTAATTCCATCATTCTTTTCACATTTATTAATTGGTTTGCTATGGTAAGAAGGAACTCTCCCTTACTCTCCATTTATTTATTCCTATAGTTAGTTTAGACTTATGGACTGTGTTCATGGCACTGGCAACCCTTATCACTTATTTTGATGTTCAAATTCCCCCAGGTCCAGCCCCTTGGAAGTCCATTCATGCTGGCTCACATGCTGTTTTGACATGACCTGATTATTTTTAACCCTTTCTTACTTTCTCAAACCAAAAGACATTCCAAGCTCATCTTGTACCTTCCTTAGAGTCAGCCATTTCTACAAGGAATGGCAATACCTTTGCTTTCAAATAATTTTGAAATATCCCGTAAGAAGCATGACACATTTGTTATGTGGCAGTGGATCCAGGGGCATCCACCACAGTCAGGACAGTATTATTCAGATAATCCAAGCAGAGGCCTTGCTTTGAGATGTTGTAGAGGCAGGATGCCAGGTGTCTACCCTGCTTAACACCGGTTTGCAATTGCATCTCAATAACTGACTTTTCTTTTTTTGAGACAGAGTTTCATTTTGCCACCCTCTATAGAGTGCTATGGCATCACAGCTCACAGCAGCCTCAAACTCTCAGGTTCAGTGATCCTCTTGCCTCAGCCTCCCAAGTAGCTGGGACTGCATGCACCTACCACAATGTCTGGTTATTTTTAGAGATGGGGTCTCGCTCTTGCTCAGTCTGGTCTTGAACTGGTGAGCTCAAGCAATCCACCTGCCTCAGCCTAGCAGAGTGCTGGCATTACAGGCATGAGGCACCACACCTGGCCCAACATTCTTTTTTTTTTTGAGACAGAATCTCAAACTGTTGCCCTGGGTAGAATGCTGTAGCATCATGGTTCACAGCAACCTCCAACTCTGGGGCTCAAGCCATCCTGTTACCTCAGTTTTTCTATTTTTTAGTAGAGATGACGTCTCGCTTTTGCTCAGGCTGGTCTCGAACTCGTGAGCTCAAGCTATCCACCCGCCTCAACCTCCCAGAGTGCTAGGATTGCAGGCGTGAGCCACCACGCCTGGCCGATATTCATTTTTTTAAGAGAGATAATAGTTTCATAATGCCTCCCCCCTCCCGCCCCCACCTCCATTTCTAAAAGTAAAGAGATACTCCTCATGAAATGTTTGGATACATGAACATATGTAAATGTAAAATTTCTTCAAGTCTTCCTCTGATATATATAGTATGTCTGTGTGCTTTTATATACTTATTGTTTTATAAAATCAGAATTATATGTATAGGTATATGCATATACAGAGTGAAAATTCTATAAGATTATTCACCAAAATGTTGACAGGGTTTATTTCCAGCTTATAGGATTGGGAAATATTTATTTTTAAATTTCTTAATCTAATCTTTCTCTTTATATTGTTTATTTTTTTCCTCAGTAAGTTTTTAACTATTATCTTTGTAAGCAAAAAGATATAGGACTTGAGGAAACATGATGGTTTGTAACGTTTTATGGACATATCTACTTATTCCTTAAGTTTCAATCTTAGCAATTACAAGAAATGCTATGTCTGTGTGTGCACTAAGTTCAGGAATTTGAACCTTTTATGTTCTTGTCTGCCTTACCAGATATGCAGGAGGAAAGCTGTCCTTGTCTCCCTGTGCAGTGCATACGTCTCATTCTGCATGCCCCTCACAGACTGCGGTGTTACCTTCTGTCATGTTTTTTATATATGTGATATGTTTGTATGTAACATAATATTTATGATTTAACCATTTTAAAGTGGACAGCTCAGTGACATTCTCATTGCTGTGCAGTCACCAGCCCCACCATCTCCAGAACTTTGAAACTCTGTACCCATTAAATAACTCCTCACACTCCCCATGCCTTGCGTGTATGAGTTTGTCTATTCTAGGTACCTCATATAAATGGTTCATCTTTTTTTTAATAAGAAAAGAGTTCCTTATGCCCCTTTCCCCCAAAAGGGCCCCAAAGGGGAATAGCTAAATTTCTGAGAATTAGAGTGTTGAATTGGTACCAAAGAGAAAGTCCCCAGAGAAAAGCACTGTGCTCACTCTCTTCTGGCTTCCCTAGGGCCTGTCCACTTGATCCCATCCTTGTGCTGTGATGAGGCCTGCAGCACCCGCCGGGCGACTCTTGGTTGTGGGGTGCATTCTGTGGTCACACTTCAGGAGAGGTAACAGAGTCCTTTTCATCAATAACTTCATATTCCTTTGTGCAAATACACCTTCTAGGATGTATTTGATGATTTTCGTGTGAGACTATGGGAATATCTCTTATTTATTTATTTATTTATTCTTTTGAGACAGCGTCTCACTATGTAGCCCTCAGTAGAGTGCCATGGTGTTGCAGCTCACAGCAACCTCAAACTCTTGGGCTTAAGTGATTCTCTTGCCTCAGCCTCCCAAGTAGCTGGGACTACAGGC